CAGAGAGAGCCTAAATTTTATAAAACAGTCGAATAAAATAAAGACGAACAGAAATAGTGCATAAATGAGGAAATGGTATAAAAAAACCTTAAATTGAAGAGCAAAAAACCTTAAATTAATGAAAGCAGAAAACATATCATATTCTTAGTTCGAAACGTGGTGTTTGCAAATGAACGCATCATGAGCCTAATGGTGTAGGAATATGCTCGCTTTGAGGGTATATGTTGTATGTAAATCGGACTAAACTTGGATATCGGATATCGGAATCAAAGCTACGTCTAAATCGAGCCATGTGCTTTCTTCGTTTAGTATAGAAAGGCCGGAATCTCTGATAAAATCAGACAAAATGTCAATAGACTCATTATTTTGTTATTCCGTTTGATATAATTCATTAAGTTGACTAACGACTGAATAAAGATAACGTAGCCAATGGTTTGTATTTGTGTTCATTTCATTTGATATGCAAAATATGTTAGTGATTGAAATAAAGATTGGTAATTGCAATTTATTTTAAATTTGAGAGATATCTTTATATTCTATTAATAAATTGATTTTTTATCGATGTTTATTATCTGATTAGCTTTTTGCTTTTTTCGCCGCGAACTCAAGTGTTTTTATATCTAATTTTTATTTACTTATATTAATAATACATATTCTTACATTATAGATTAAATCGTTATTATTTTATATAAATTGTGCGTTCTTAAGATTATTTAAATCAAGAAACAAAGTTTTTGTAGAAAAATCGTGTTATCGGCAAAGAAAGTACAAGGAGTATCGGATCAAGATTCGTAATATTTACATTAGACGGAATAAAAGTCACCGGGCACTTGAAACTGAAGGCTCACATAATAAAATGTATATTATTTAAAACTTAAATAAAATAAAAAAAATGAGTTTCAATGATTCTTTTTGGCTAAATTGGAGCCAGCTTATATGGATAGCAAACTCCCGCAATATTCGCACTCGCAATTATCACAATCACGCTATAGTCACATTAATTTTTTGCAGTCCCGCAATAACATGTGACTGTATCGGAAGTTAATATGACCCGATATATATACACTTAATATTTAAATTGATACCATAAAATCCAATTTAATATCATAACTCTAATACGAAATCCTATATTAAACTTTAATCTTCAAAATATATGCGTGTAAACAGGTAACCAGTAACTTATTTCAGTCGAGTATACATGAAAATCCGGATGCATGATTAAGAAACAATTAAACTTATTTAATAAATAAACTTTGTTAAGAAATTTATAATAAAGCGTTTCAAGTGATAAATTTGGCGAACTTAGAAATCACGTCAAATTCGACAGCTTAATTTTGTCTACTATCCCTTAAATCATACATTTTAGCAGGCAAATTTGTCCGCTTAAATAATTGAGAAAAATTATCTCCTACAAATCTTTTTTTATAAAAGGGATAACTTAAATTGACTAGGATAATTCTCAAAAGTATAGATTACATTATAACTCTACAGTCATCTCGTAACATTTGCTATGTGACTCAAAAAAAGTGCATAAATTTGTGTCATGTGAAATTTGCTATGTTTTACCAATCTTATGAAAATTCTTGATAATTTACTTTTATATACTTCATATCATAGCAAACTAAATTTATTATGTAATATGGATATTTATCATAATAAAATTTTGAATTATTATGATAGTTAGGTCAGCTAAATTAGTATTTTTATTTAAAGATTAATTTAAGATTTTTTCAAACAGTTTTATCAATAAACTGATAAATAAATTTTTGAAAAATAAATTTTAAGAACATTTATTTATAAATGTCTTTAATTAAAAAATTTTTTTATTTTTTTCTTACAAAATTTTAGATTATTTATTTAATAAAAATATATATAATATTTAATAAAAAAAATTTATTATTATTAATACTTTCTTATTTTAAAGTATAAAAATTAATAAAATATTATATATTATACATCAAAACTGGCTTTAATATAATATTTTACAATCTATATCTATTTTTTTGTTTGTTATTCAAATATATTATTAATATACTTCTCATTTCTCTCTCTAAAAGTTATTTTTGAAGGATAATAATTTAGATTTTTATTAGAAGAATTATAATTTATATTTTAATTAATATTAATTATTTTAGTATAAGTTTCTTTGATTAATAGTAACTTCACTTATTAATCATTATAACTCTTTTGATTTATTTTTATTCTTTTCTTTATAACTTCACTTCTTTTTAGAATTACTTTTATAGTTTACTCTTCTTATATAATATTTATAAATATTAGTAAAGATCTTAGAAATCTTTGCTAATATTTACTATTTTTTCCTTTTAATTAGTTTAATTATATTTAGATATCTTATTATTAATAAATAGATTAATTAAAGTTTTATTAATTTTAACTTTATATTAAATAAAAATAATTTTGAATTTTTAAGCAAATATTACTTTTTATTTGAAATTCTTTTTTTATTTCATTTAATATTTGAATTCTTTATTTAAAAAAAATTAAGTAATTATAATATTAGTTTTTTAAGATATTAATCTTTAAATATATTATATGAATCAATTTTCTTTTTAATATTAATAAGTAAATTTTCTTTTTCTATCTTTTTTTTATAGCAACTTTATTTTTATTTAAAATTTTTAATAATAATATAATTATTACTTCTTCTTTTCTTTAATTTTTTTATTATTTATAATTATTCTAGTATATTTTTTTTAGTCAAATATTTATGAGTTATAAAAAAAAGAAATTAGATTAATTAAAAATTTTTTTGAAATATTACAAGTAAATATTTGTAGCATAATTATTAGATTTAAAATTTGAGAAATTATATTTATATTTTATAAATTATTATTTTTTTAATAATTATTTTAATTATTTTAATTCTGCTAATCATTATTTAATTATTTTGATTTTGAGAGTTATTTTAATTATTTTATAAATTATTCTGCTAAATATATTTTAACAATATAATCTTTAGCTTTATAATTGAAATAGATAATATTTAATTTATTATTTTGCTAATTTTATTATTTTAATTACCAAATTTTTTTTCAGATTTTATATAATCTAATTTATTAATTAAATCTCAAAGAATTTTAGTAATAATACTTTTATTTAATAGTTAATTAAACTTAAATTTAATAATAAATCTATTTAATAATATTATAATTAGTATTTTTAATATTTTTAAAAGTTTTAATAATATTATTTATATTATTTTCAATATTTAAATTAATTATTTTATATTTCAGACTTGAATTTTTTTTTGAATGTTAAATTTGATACTTTTTAGAATATTCTTAAAATCTATTCTTATTAATAGTTTTGCAAATAATTAATAATATTCTTTTATTATTTCAGTCTATTTAATAAATTTAAATTTATTTTACTATTGTTTTATTTTATAAAGTGATCTAAATTTTAAAATAAAAAATTAATATTTATTATAATTTATATTTTTCTATTCATTTAATATACAAATAATTAAGCTAATATATTGATCAAATCAGATAATAACTAATCTCTCAAGTATTTTCTTACTATTTTAATATTTTTTTCGTCAAAAATTTTATTAATTTTAGTGACTTTCTTTAAATTTATATAATTATAATATAGGATCTTGTTTATTATACTTGAATTTATAAATCAGAATAATAATCTTTTCTACATATTGGATCTGTATAAACTTAGTTAATTTATAAAGAGCTTTTATTAAAACATTTAGTTCAGTCATATTATTTAATTCTTCTTTTAATTCAGAATTTTAAGTACTAAATTGCTATTAAAATTCTTCTAAGATAATTATTGAATCTTTTGATATTAGAATTACTACCGATATATTCTGGATCTGTTGGTTAAATTAGTTAATAAACTTTCAAATTATTTATTTTTTTAAGTATATAAATAATATTTTTAATTAAAAAAAATTGTTATTTAAAATGATTAAAGAATGTAGTTTTACCTTCGTTTGAACATAAAAACCGACATTTAATTCAGCATCAATAACAAATTCAGTAGTTATATGCTAAAGTTGCATGCAAAAACTTTTATTAGGTATAACTAAATTTATGTTATAGTTAAAATTTACCTTTACTATCATTCTTTCATTTTCAACAGGACGCTTTTTGTTCGATTTGTAATCTTTGAATTTCAATTTTATTAATAGTATATGATATTTTAATTCGTTGTTAATGAAAAATGCATACGTGGTATAGTTGATTTTTTTTGAGCTTAAATAAATTTTCGGTGTCTTTTTCACCGTTCTCGAAAGGAAAATAAATTAGTGTGTACAATGGTAGCATAATTAATAAATCTCACTTCATGTAATTCGTTTGGTATATATAAATTGACGCTTGTTAATTTGGCAACAATTTCTATATCGTGTTATCAAGTAAAGCGTCATGTTAACGTTATTATCTTTAAAAAAACAGTAATTTTACCCTCATTCAGATTATTTAGAACATATATACTAACGTATGTAGAACCTAAAATGTTTGATAATATAAATGTCATCTTGACTGAATATAAAATAAATCACGTACTGTTGGGATTGATATTAATTTTGAAGTAAGCGAATTAAATAATGAATTGAATAAAATTAAAATTTTTTGCTTCAACACAATAAACATTAATTCCATATCGCATAAAGGAAATCAATAATCTAAACGAGTCTGTGATTAAATTAAATTGATAAGTCAAATTTTTGAACTGTCCCTGATATTTTGCTTCAGTACGATCCGCACGAAAATAGTAGCGAAGAATTTTTTACCATATAATTAAAAAAAGACTGGTATTCTGAAATGTATTCCCAACTTACTGGATAAATAAAATCATTGCTTACAACAAGTTAATTATATTTCTCTGTTGTATCAAACTCTTTTTTATTTAGCAGTAACTTTGAACCTAAAGAGTTCTTCGTTTATCGTGGGTTCACTTTACCGAATTTTGACTGTAGTTGCAGCAACTTGTAACTGTTAGCTTTATCATAATAACATTCATTATGAAATAAGTGTATCGTATTTTTCGCTAATTGGCTTATTTCGCAAAAGTGTGGTACTAGATACCTAAAAAAAATTTTGTTTCTTTATTTTATAGCAGAAAACTTGGTGATTTATAGATCAAATGGGTTTGTTTAACCAAAAATGTTTCATAAACCGAAGAATCGCATTGATATAGTAATAGTACACTAGCCATGCCGACAAAATGTTTCTGTACACGTTATTTCCGTTTTAGGATTAGAGTCTGAGTCTGAGTAAAGATTATATGGAACAAGCAGCATTTATATAGTAAAATTTCGTAAGGAATATTTTTTGATAGTTTCATATGGAATCGAATACTCATGATTTCAATAAACGGGTTCTTGCTTCACCCTCCCTTTTGGGAAAAAAAAAAAAAAAAAAAAAATACTCATGATTGTAGTAAATGTCACTATTGTCTATTTTATCAGTACTGTGATGAGTGTTCAGTTCATAATACTCATGATTTTAGTAAATGTTTCCTTTGTGGAATAAATGAATACTTAGATGAATGTTTGGTTCACAATACTCACGATTGCAGTATATGTACCTAATGTCAAAAAAAAATAACTGCTGGAAAGGTACAAACGAATTTATAATAATAAATTATCTAGCGGAGATTAATATATCGACAATCTAATAAAAGAATGCAACAAAATCAATTATAAATTTCAAAATATATTCGAATGAATTCCTTTCGAAAGATTTATCAGACGTTGAATGAATATCTTGCAAAAGGAGATTTTGGTTCAATTTATAAAGCAACCTGGTTGGATGTACCATTTGGCTTGTGATGAAGAAGATCCCAAATGGAATCATGAAAAACACAAATGGAAACGAGATAAAGAAATTGAAGTTGTGTTGAAATCATTACACAGTACAAACCAAATCACTTCAGACTATATACGCGAAACAAAAATGAATATTTTCTAAAATAAAGGTTACTTTTTTCAAATACACTTAAGTTTTTTAATAGATTTAGACTGCTCTAAAATGCGCTAGTAGTTTATTAAATATTATGGAATAACTGAAAACCCAGTTACTCAATAGTAATGACTTATGTAGCAGATGGCGATCTTCACAAAATACATTGATTTGAATAGAATATCTATATTAGATTATAAACAGAGGGAAGATCACAAGGAAGACCACGGGGAAGACCATAAAGAAGACCTCAAGAAAGACTTAATTCCACCTGTTCCAACCGATCAAGACAAACTCCAAACCATTTTCACCTCACAAATGTCAATGTACATTTTCTCCCATCAAATATGACCGCTCATCTTCAACCCATGGATGCTGGCATTATAAAGTACTTCAAGAGAAAATATAAAAACTTATACTGTCATCATTTGATGATCCAATTCAAGAAAAATGAGAATCTAGAAAGATAAGAATTAATTTTATTATTATTATTTAAAAGATACTAATCATCTATAATAAATATTACAGAAAACTTACCCCAAAAGAAGCCATGGACTTTATTGCCAATGCGTAGCAAGAAATTAGTGACACTACTTATAAAGAATTGCTAGCAAACTACTAGAATTTTACCAGAAACAAGCAGATCAGAAGAAAGTGAACTTGAAGCCAATATCTTAGAGATTGATAACACTATAATACTAGTTAATGATCTTTTGATGGATACTAATCTGGTGGCCTAATAATTAGTACAAGACATTGAAGAATACATTTGCATGATCAATCAACCAATCAAAACTGAAAATAGGTTAAATAATGAAGACATAATCAAAATAGTAAAAGCCAAGTTTTATAATAATAATGAAATGAATAATGAAATGAATAATGAAATGAATAATGAAATGAATAATGAAATGAATAATGAAATGAATAATGATAAGCCACTTCCATCACCTTCAGTAACTATTACCAAAGCTATTGAGATATTGAAAAAAGTGATAAGATATCAAGAAAGTCTTGAAATAGGAAAGGGATTTGATGAGAAAGAACTAATGATATTGCAAAAAAAACTCAAGGAATGGAGTTATGAAAAGCAAGAAGCTAAAAAGCAAGTCTCACTCAGATCTTTTATAAAAAAATAGATCAATTTTTAAATTAGCTTTGAATTATTAAAAAGACTAATTGATAAATTAAATTAACTTTAAAGCTTGATTGATGCAAGTAATTAGTCTTTAAGATTCTAATTGGCATATGTGATTGACTTTGAATAATTAATTTTATTGGTTGAATTTTTTCTAATAAATCTCCATATAGTCACTAATTATCTTTTTTAATATAACTGTAATTATAGAGAGAATATTCCTATATAAGTCACATCTCTTTATAGTCATCATTTTTTGTATTCTGAAGGTGTGACTATAGAGAAGTTTAACTGTAATCTAATATCGATTTTTTTAAAATAATATAAAGAAAAATATAGAATATTAAAAAATTTAAATATAAAAAGAGAGATTTTTTTATTTTTTTTATTAGAAATTAATTTTTAATTACTAAAAATTAATTTCTTAATTATTAAATATTTTTTATAATTATTAAATATTAATTAAAAATACTTTAATAAATCTAGTTAATATTAATAATATAATTATTATTATTCTATTTAGACTTAATAATTATTTTAAAGTTACTTAAATTAAATAAAATAAATATTCAAGTTAAGAATTAAATCTATAATAATATTAATAATTTTAAAATTAATAATTATTTTATTATTATAACTTTTATTATTTTTACTTAACTAAATATAAATATTCAAGCTATTGATACTACTCCTTTTAGAATTATATTTGTTAATTCTTTAATTAACTAAATCTAAATATTATAATATAGTATAATAATTTTTATTATATATCAAATATTAATATATATATATATATATAATAATATTAATTAGCTTATTTTTTTTAGTTTGGATCTTTATTTTGTATTATTTATATTATATGTATAATATTTTGTAAAAATTAAGTTTCATTCTAAATATATGATAAAATTATTATATATTAATTTAATTATATTAATTACATATTATTATATAAATAATTACTATAAATTATTTAATTATTATTTTTATTTTAATTAATATTTCTTTATAATTTTATTTATTTTTCTTTTATTATTATAAACTAGTAAATAGTTTCAAGAATTCATAAAGAAATATATCAAAAAGTAATTTAAAAGAAATATTAATTAATAAGAAAAGATCAAATATTAGATATTTGAGAGAAAATAAAAAGTATTTATCGATCAGCAAATGTAATTATTTAACTGTGTAGCGAGAGTATCAAAAGACCGAAATATTGAATCTTCGATTAAAAGCTTTATAAAGTTGCAACAATCCATAGTGATGACAAAGGTAAATAAAAACTCTGAGTCACAATAGAATTCCCTTACAACATGGCAAAAATAAGACTTGTTAATCTTAAAACGCATACATTAATGGTAATTTGCGAGATTTATATTGAGAGTGTGGTATCGATTATGAATTCTGCTGTGTAAAAGCTCGACACGTATGTATCGTTATCTGAAAAGAATCCATGTAACCGTCGCAGCTCGGCTTTGTTCTATCTTCTAAAATAATAACGAAAGGAATTTAAATTTGTATGGAAATTTTACCAGACAACATTAATATCGATTACCTACGTAAAATGTAATTACAAGTTATATTGAATTTGAAAGGAGCAACATCTACACATATATACGATGCAGAAAGTTAGTCTTTTTCCATTATCAATATTAAAGCACCTAGATACAAATGTGCATTAGCGAAGAAACAAAAGTTGTATTTTTTTACATGGGGGTGGAATGTTAGAATCAAATGACGGATGAATAGTTTGTAATGGTGCTTACGTTACCAATCGAAAAATCATTGAACTCAGATAGAGACACATTATTAAAAAAAGCACTCGTGAAAATATTCCTTTAGAACCTTGATTACAGTTGGTTCTGTCTTGCGCCATGAAATTTTTAGGAATACAATCAAGACAACAAATTATTGACACCTTGAGGCGTTTTTTATAATTGTATGTTATAAATCCTCTTTATTTCAAATGACGCTTCGTATTTATAACATTTTAATTAATTATCATTTACCTCTTTCTTTTTCAGTTCTATTTTTCATGCTATATAGAATAAGAGCTTTCATACTTAACAATAAAATTAGTTTTAGAAAATCTAATTCCCCTCTGCGATACTTGTAAATTTCAAATTACATGTACATGTACACTCCCCGGTCAAAAGTGTCCGACCACTTTAAAATCGGATAAAAATGCACAAACTTCAACAATTAATTTCTTGACAATTTATAAACAAATATTATAAAAAATTTATATCATTTTATTCAGAAAAACATGAATTTTATTAATATCTAGTTGGCTATCTAATACTGCTTGAACCCTCCTTGGCAAACTTTCAACTAAATTTGTTAAAATTTCAGGTTCAATTTTATTCCACTCCTCCTCCAAAACTATTAATTCCATAATATTTTTTGGATGAGGTTTATGTTCCCTAACTCTTCTTTCCAAAACATCTCACAAATGTTCAATTGGATTAAGATCTGGACTCTGTGCAGGCCATGAAAGACTTAATACCAAATTATTCTCTTTCCATTGATTGACCATTCTTGCTCTATGTATTGGAGTATTATCATCTTAAAAAATATATTATGAATTGTTTTCTAAGCTATTATAAAAGGGTAAAAAAGTGTATTCTAATATGTTTATATATATAAAACCTGTTATTCTACCTGAAACTTGAATTAAAGAATCAATTTTATCTTTCACAAAACATTTCCATGCCATAACTCCTTGATTTCCAGATTTTATAGTTGGAATTAAGCATCTCACATCATATTTTTCATGTGGTCTACACCAAATATCAGGAAATTTTTTGGAATAATTTGTATCAATTTTTATCATTAATTATATATTGATATATATTGGAGTTATCAATGCATATCAAAACAGATATTTGATATATATCAATATATATCAGAGTTATTGATGTATATTATTTAATGAAGTATATTATTAAATATCATTATTTAATGAAGTATATTGTTAAATATCATTATTTTATGATATATATCATTAAATATCATTATTTTATGATATATATTGTTAAATATCCTTGTTTTATGATATATATTATTAAATATCATTGTTTTATAATGTATATTATTAAATATCATTATTTTATAAT